ATCAGATAGATTGGATAAAAACTCAAAAGGAGGCGCGTTATCATAAGAATTTAGAAGAACATTTGAGATTTTTCCATCTCACGTGCAAGGCCTGCTTCGATGCGCCTCCATGATAACACGTCAAAAGTTGATGCCAAAAGCGAAAACCACTATAAAAACCGAAGATCCGAGTAAATCAAGGGCAGATCGTTTTGCCATCGTGCTGCCAGCTGAATCAATCAATCAGGAGCCAGGAATACATGGTAATGAATTGATTATCTTAGATGGATATACCTTTCGATAACAGCTCAAATCGGCATCAGGTTTCAACCATGTCTCTTGTGTCCGTTCGCCGACAACCATAGGGGGGAGCATGGACCGTTCAGTGATCACAACATTCAGTACGGCTGACAAACAATCGCTCCAAAGGGCAGTGGGGATTGGTGAGATTAGTTCATTAAGATACCAACTAAAGTAATTCAACGTACATTCGTGTGAAATAAACTTCAAGTCAAAAAACTTAAATCTTACCTGTGGAAAACAACCATAGAAAAGAACACAGCATTATAAATTCGACCAACTGATATATGCTCTTTTTGCCACTAAATCAAAAAGATGCTTCGATAGAAAACTAAGATGAGAAAAAGGCAAGAGATTTGAGCTTGTATTCCAGCATTGATTCTATAGAGAGTTTAGGCAAAGATGATGAGAAACTCACATCAAACTCAATGCCATGAACACCAACTAGCCTAGTGGGATTTCGTTTTGCATAATCCAAGACAGCATTCATTTCAGATGAAGATGGACTTAACCGTTCATCAATGAAAATGAGAAATCCGTTGGCACAGGCTTTTTGCAAAGCGGCTATATCGATAGTCTGAAAGAAGAAGTTTGACGAAACGGTCATGTCTTTCGATTGATCTTAACATAATATTTCAATCATAACAGATGGCGATATTTGAAAATCACCCTATTAGTAACAGACACAAACTCCAAAGCCAACTTTGTCCCAAAGTCTGCACCCACAGGAGGCACACCACGTAAATGAGGCCACAAAATGACAATCTTAATAGAAAGCGTAAGAAGGTCAACCATATCAATGTAAAGAGCTAACCTTACGGAGACCTTCCAGTTTCGCCACATTCAAAACAACCTTTTGTAATCTGGATGAGGGCCTCTCCGACGCCCTAATAGCAACGTTTACTCCCTGGTTAGAAACTGACACATCGATAGGATGCATTTGATTCCAGCGAGTCCGCTCTTGGGCCTCTGCTATTTGTATTCGTTCCCAAATAATCTTAACGGTAATCGATTTTGGTCGTGAAATTAAGCATCAATGAAAATCAGAAAAGGTTTGAAAAAAGATTAAATCACCTCTAATGCAGTTACAGCAATCTTTTCAACACTGCTAAAATATCTGTAGTAAATAAAAAAGCCTCGCTGTTTCATTTGGTAGATTTTCTCAACAGTGAAGGTATACAGAATATCGGGCACCTGCAACTACGACATATTGTGATTCGCCAAACCAGACGTTGGGAACTGAGATAGTCAAAACTTATATGTTTACCAGTAGAACGTTGTCTTCAGGTACTACAACAGCAGCAGCCGACCAGTCGATGATTTCATCGAATGGGAGCACCCAGTCATCAGATAGTACCACAGGTACGCAGCCCAACCGCAAAGATTCCAGAAATCTTAAGACACGTCTTGGCAAATAATGTTCCACATTAAAAGGTAACAAAACAGCGAAAGATATCTTAAGGATAGAGAAGAACTATACCTGAACGATCCTAATCGTCTACCTCTGGGTGTAAGACAAAATGTCGAGTTTGCCATCATCGACTCGTAGTCCCACCTAGAACCATTGCAAGGTCTAAAAGCAGGTCCGTAATAAGAACTAACTTACTTGTCGTAGGCTTCATTATCGCTTTCACAACGAGCGTCTTGATGGGCCTCAAAAGGAAAAACTGTGACTGAGCGCAAAAAATGGGTTTCAAATATCTATCTGATTCAGTTTTCATTGTAGCCAGAGCATTCCAAACTAGAAATCACAGCAGAAACCTTTCACAAACCTGCCAGTCATTGTTGTGTTTACAAGTCGTAACCATCGCTACCGTTTCTCCATTATGCAAATGGTGCAAGGAATCTCGAGTCTCCGAGCCGATGCCTCAAACATGATAAGTGTTAAGCATATACACAAACAATAAGAAAGAATTTCAAGTACTGACCGTAAACGTATCGTTTTCCCTTGAAGGACACTATGTATTGGTCCCTGGTTTTGAATGAGATTTCATGCTGAAATAAGTTTACAGATATACAACAAAAGTTGATAGCAAAACCTCGCGAGTTGTCGTGCAAAACAAAAAAGTGTCCAAACAGTATATCGTAAAGTAATCAAATCAATATATCAATAATCAAAATTTCTATATACCTCTACGGGATTACGAAGCGGATGCTCTTTGTGGAACAACGGAAATGATATGTCGAAATCGAAGCGGAAGTTCTGACAGGTCATATTTCCAATTTCTGGGCAGAGTGGGCTAACGTTCTCTAACCTGTGAGCTAGGCGATGCTCGAGCAATCATTGCTTTCTTCGTAGCAAAACCAAGATTATGATCGGAATAGTCCGGAAAAGTGCCGTGGTACAGATTAAATATGATATGATTTATCCCATCATTCCAAACATCAACGGGAAGATTGGAGATGTAGCGATCGACGTCGCGAACGTAATTTTCGCTTAAAAAATGAAATTTTAAGGAATTCCGCCGATAACCTGAGGAAGTACCTCAGAACTCAGTCAGAAGTACCGCGACTGCTTTACCTGATCTTGTCTCTGTCTATAGTATCCACACTGACGACGAAGAGGCAGGCTTCTCTAGGGTCAGACACGAAGTACCGACTAAAGCAAATGGAATGGCCGGAACTTAGCTTATTTCTGGGGTATTTTGGGATTCTAGTTATTATAAAAACAAAAAGGTGCTGAGTTTACTCTTCCTAAGCTTTGAACTTCTGTTTGCAACATTTTTAGGCATAGGAAATCCATTATAGGATTACGACACAGTTTATAAATGAATTACCTCTCACGAATAGCTGTAAGTATTTTCCTATAGGCCTCGGATGGGACCAGATCCTCTATATCGGGGTAAACGTACACTTTGAATCCTGATTTGCATTTCGAATAGTCGAAACAAGAATGCATAGAACATTCAGATGGCCTAAAACTGATAGTAAAGGCAAACGCAGAATATAAGTAAAAATAAGAAGTTGGCATGCGACCCTTCAAAAAAAAA